CCTGCCCTGCTCTGCTCAATTCACACAAATTAAAAAAAAAGACTAGCTTGAAAGTCCTTGAAGAATTTAAAAGTGTAAAAAAAAAAAATAGTCAAATATAAGGAAAAAATGTTAATTCTCTTTTAAAAAAAAAAAACAAAGTGGAAAAGAATTACCCCTCCCTTCTTAGAAAAAAAAATTTAGAAAGCTTGTAAGTGTGAATTCTTTCTCCACCCTAAAAAAAACAATCTTTTTAAAAGCTGTTTGACAGCCCAGGACTGTCTTTAGAGCACCTGGAAGCCATCCCTTTGAAACGCAAACATCAGGGAAGGTAGCGTCCCCACCTCCCAGTCTCCGTGGGAAAGCAGGGGCCTAATTTAGGAGCCTAACTTAACTTCGGTAGGAGCCTGACATCTGCCAGAAAAAAAATGAGTTGCAAATCTTCCTCTTGCCATGGAGGATATGAGAAAAAAAATTTTCCTCTGGAAAAAGACAATTAGCTAACACAGATGAAAAAAAAATGAGTTTAGGATGAACTATGTATGACAAAGGATACTGTAAAAAAAAGTTACTTGAGTACTAGTTACGGTTTAGCTTGAGAACACATGTGTAATGGGTGGCACCTGCCTGGCTATATGACCAGGTGACATCAAAAAAAATCTTTGCAATCTCTTCCTGGATTGTCTGAGATCCAGATAAAAAAAAGGTTCAATGCACGTTCAATAAAATTGTTTTCTTGCTCTTCTGCCTCTGTGGAGAGGTTTTCTAGGCTGGCAGGGGATTGTTTAAAATTGTTTTACCCATCACGTCTTAGACAATTGTTATGATATGACTGAAAAAAAAACTTCAAATGTCAACAACGAGGGATGTGGGGATTCTCTAAAAAAAAATGGCCCTCTGCCTACGTCCCATTGTGTTCGCCATCTCAAAAAAAATTTATGTCCACTGCTCTAATCTTAAATGGCAATCAGCTAAAAAAAAACTGCTTTCCCAATCAGTTCAAAAATAGAGGTTCTATCAAAAAAAATTCAACCCTTACCAGATAAACTGACACGTGGACTCCACAAAAAAAACACAGGGAGGGCTCCATCACGTGGCAGACAGCTTGCCAAAAAAAAACACAAGCCAAGAGTCAAACCCTGCGAGGGCTTGTTCTGGTCCTCTGTGGACCACAGTGCCTTTCTGATCCTGGTTAGCAGAAGTAAAAAAAAAGCAGAGCCTGTGAGAAGGGGCCCAAGAGTGCTGGGAGAAAAAAAAGCCCCAGTGATGGGTGCTGAGGGGAGCAGCTGCTGCCCAAAAAAAACCAGTCACCAGCGGCCTTTTCTGAACTTGGAAGTGGGAAAAAAAAAAATTCCCTTCATCTCTCCTTCTTCCAAATACTGCTTGCAAAAAAAAGTCAAAAATAAAAAGGAAATAGCACGGGGCACACTGTCCCAGGGCAGGCTCATGACAGGAAGTGGCCCATTAAGGAGGCAGCACAAAAAAAAGGTTTTCAGGGGTTTGTTCCCAATCAGTTTCCAGCCAAAAAAAAAATGTCCTAGTCCACATGGGTGTGGGGGGCACACTCCATAAAAAAAAATCTTCTTTTTTTGCACCTGAGTCATGGAGCTTTCAGCCAAAAAAAATGGCTCCTCCTTAACTGCATCTGCTCAGCCTCCCTCAGAAAAAAAAATAGCCTCCCCACACACAGACCACAGAGCAGGGCTCTCAAAAAAAACACTTCACCTTCCTGAGAGAGGACCAGCTGGCCAGAGCCTACATGACCGCCACCCTGGAGGACAGGGCACAACAGCCGTTTCTGAAAAAAAAAACTGGGTTTATGCTCACAGAGACTTGGGGAATCAGAAAAAAAAAAGTTTGGTCACAGCTGTTCATTTCTGACATGACCTTGCAAAAAAAAACTCACTTCTGGGTTCCCTGGTCAGTAAAACGGGGCAATGGTGGTGAGTGTTGCGGGCATCAGCAGGTGCGCAGCTGGTGGAGCAAAAAAAAAAGAATCTGCGCCTCCACTCACAGCCCAGTCCCGGGCAGAAAAAAAAGCTGCCCCATTGCCCATTACTTAGCCAAGTCGATCTCCATGAAACTCTCAGGGAGTAAGGCTGAACTGATCCTCTCACCAGTGGAAAAAAAAGGGAAACTGAAGCTCCCAGAGGGTAATAGGCTTTCCCCAAAAAAAATAGCATGCTGGGGCATTCTTCTCAAATTTACCCTCCTAAAAAAAAATGTCCCAGGCCAGCCAGACACGCACTATGTCTCAGACAAAAAAAAAAGCTGAGGATGGATTCTTAGGGCTCCCCAGGGCAAGTGAAAAAAAATTTCCCACCCCAGAGACCTCATGTTCCAAACAAGACCCAAAAAAAAACCTTTTCTTGTGACTTTCAACTTCGGAAAACTACCCCAAAAAAAACTAGATTTCTCACATTTCTCCTGTGACACCCTGCAGGATGCACTGTAGGGAAACAGGCTCATGTTTGGGGCACCTGTGAACAATAAAAAAAACAGCCAAACTTTATGTGAGAGACATGCCATGGAACCACAGTGACCAAACCGCAAAACACATCATTCCAATACCTGGAAATGTATAAAAAAAAGCAGACGGGTGAAGGAAATACTTATGAACAAAGAAGACAAAAAAAAGTTTGATCTTTTCTAAAATAGTATGGAAGAGGCTGCTTTCTTGTGATTTGCTAAAATAAGCTCTTCTCATGGTAAAATCAGGTTAAAAAAAATTTTAAATCAGAACATGCATTTTGTTCATTTGCTTCACAAAAAAAACTGAGCCAGACCCTCCTACTGGCTTGCCAGAGGCTGCTAAAAAAAAGCTTGCACACTGCCTTCCAATCTCTCGTGACCTTTGGTAAAAAAAATGGGACTATTGGTAAAATTTTTCCTTTGGAGAAGATATCTGCCTTCATTCTCAATTCCCCGGCTTTTGTCTGCCCTGTAGACCAAAAAAAAACACTTTCCTTCAAGCCTACGATGTGTCCACCACGCTTTAAAAAAAAATTTTATAATCTTCTCCATGACTCATTTTAGCATTGCCAAAAAAAACCTTTCTGACTCACCTGTGAACGCTTTGTTATTTGTTAAAAAAAAACAAAAAATATATTCCTCAATGCAGCCTGATCCACTCAGAAAAAAAAGATTGGGAGAGCTATTGTTGCTGCTCATTGCCTGACATAAAAAAAACTGACTGGCTTTTGTGACAGGCAATTGGCTGTTTTAAAAAAAAAAACCCCAATTCAGAGAAATTCCTGCCACCAACAATTTTATAAAAAAAAAATCTTTTATAAGAAATGCACTCAAGATTTTGCAATAAAAAAAAAAGTGTTGGTTTTAGGGTAGGCTTCTAGCTGTCCAATTAATTTATCTCCTTACCAGGGGGTGGCAGCATTGTACACATGGTCCAAGAGGTTTGCTGACTTTTTTGGAATAGTCTCTTTTTCCGCCTATGGAAAAAAAAAAAATACACAGGCAAAAGGAGCCATTTCCTGATGCTAGCTCCATTGTAAATATGTGACCTTTGGCAGGTCATTTAATGCTCAGTTTAAAAAAAATTTAATAGAAATTTTAAGACCAGTCTTGATCACATCACAAAAAAAATGAGAGAGCAATTAAAATAAGAAGGATGAAATAAACTTAAAAAAAATAAACGTCTGCACAGAGGTTTATTACAATTATGATGTTAAAAAAAAACATCATTACCACTGTCCTCTTGACCCTTACCACATCAAAAAAAAAATTCCAAACCTCAGAGGATGTCAGGGAACTGGTGCTACAAAAAAAAAAGCCAGAAGCATAATTTACCAGAGACAAGAAAGGGTGAAAAAAAAAGAATACTCTTCTCTGGGCTTAAGAAAAAGAAAGAAAGAAAAAAAAGGAGGGGGAAGAGAAAAGGAGGAAGAAGAGAAAGAAGGGAAAGGGAGGGAGGCAGGAAGCTGTCTTAATACATTCTGATAATACAAAAAAAAATTGATTGACCTAAAGGCCAAGAAGATCCACTGAATGAAAAAAAAAATGTGGAAAAGATAGAAATCACAGAAGTTATTAAAAATAAAAAAAAATAAATAACCAAAATAGCAAACCATGAAAACTGTTTTTAAAAAAAAGATAATCAGTAAAATATAAGTTTAAGTCAATTAAGGCAAAAAAAAATATGCCCATAAGGATGACAGGAAATTAAAAGTGTAATAAAAAAAAATGCCTGTTAAGATCTGGGGACTTCTTATAAATGGGTGGAAAAAAAAGGAGTTAGCACGACTCCCTGGGAGTCATATTTGGCAATATCCAGTCAGGTGGAAGATATACATCCCCAATGCTGTTACGCAGTGAAAAAAAACCAGAGCAGGAATGAGTTGTTCTTGAATTTGGCCTGAAGTTGATTATTTCTCTTCAATCACCTCACTACCTCCTCTCCACCAACCGTCAGGATGGGAAGGCGGTCATACCAGTCCCTCTGCACCATTTCCTCTCACGTCAGTTCTTTGTGTTCCTGATCCCCACTTCCACCCTCCCATTGGAAAGTACCTTGTAATTTCCTCTCCGCCACTGGAATACCCATTTGACACAAAGACTTTCTAGGACTGGAAGTTTCCACTACTTCAAATAAAAAAAACTTATTTATAGCAAGGCAATTTTTTTCTCTATTCTGGTAAAAAAAACTAGTGTAATTTCAATTTTTTTTAACACTCACTCTTTGTTCCATAGAAGAATGCTTTCTTCATTTCATGCCTTTCTGGTTGGGGAAAAAAAACAACTGATTTGCTTCCAAATATTTCCTGATTTTCTGTTAAGTTGAGGGGAGGGAAGCAATAGTGCACTATTTTAGCATAACCCAAAAAAAAATGGTTTGCTTAAAGTTATTTACAGATGTTTCAAAGCAAAATATGAGTTAGAAAATTAGTGATGGAAATGGCTCATCTGAGGATAAAAAAAAATAGATGTCTGAATTGAGGTGCTCTCAGGCTCTACCAGCAAAAAAAAGGACATTTGCTTTTTATCCTTTTCCTGTTTTTATTCCAAAAAAAAATGGAAGGATTCCAGAAGGGCAAATATGGAGCTATGGCTAAAAAAAAGAGTCTTGAAGTTCTCAAGAGCCCCAGATGCTTGGGAGAATCACAATTCTCTCCCCACTTACCCCCACCTAAAACACAGTGGCAAAAAAAAATCCATTTTAAATGAAGAAGATAAAGGCAACCATCATTTAAAAAAAAGCCATACCTCTTGTGCCTAATCGAACAATCACACACACAAAAAAAAACACACTCCATAGTGTGATGCTCTCCCTGCACCAGGTGAAAAAAAAATGTGGAAAGGAAACCGAGTCATAAGTTGAAGGGTCTGAAAAAAAATGGTGAATATGTTTTCTCTTTCTTTGTCTGCTAACAGCAAAAAAAAAAACAACAAAAAAGATCCCCATAGGGATTTAGTCATTGAAAAAAAAACAAAACACCACAGAATAACTTAAGAAAAGGAAGAACCAAAAAAAAGTGGGAGGAATAAAATAATAGATTTTTAAGAGCCTAAAAAAAAAAATGAATTCATTTGGGCTCCAGAAATCCGCAGGTTCTCCCAAAAAAAAGCCTTGAAGATTTTAGCTCCTGCCACAGTGTCACCCTCAAAAAAAACACTTCTGCTATAATTTCATGTGCTTCCATCAGCCGCATAGATTAGCTTTTCAACACACATGCTTCTATTGAGCTTATGTTCTAAAAAAAAAAGCCATCCACCTTAGGGTCATCTCCCAGACGTTGCCCTAACATTAACTACAACCTACGTCATCTCAATTTCAAACATTTCACTCCCTATCCAGAGAGCACAGACCCAGGGACAGGCAGCTGACCCCTGGCAGTGGGTCACTATAGATCTGCCAGTGGAGACCTGCTTGACCCTCAAAAAAAAAATGAATGTGTGGAGTGTGTCTTTACAAGTGTGCCTGGAAAAAAAAAAGTGAAAGAGAAGTAATTGTATTTTCTCACTTGTAACTAAAAAAAAACTCCCTCCTTCTAATAATTCTCCATGGATCTAGCCTAAACACCATGCAGGGGAAAACACAAGGACCATTTTCTTTCAGGAAAGCAAAAAAAACCACAATTCAGATGAAGTACTTAATGCATCCCCTTAATAAAAAAAATCTGACTCCTGGCTGTGGATCCAAGCATGGGCTTCCAGTGAGGCTTTTTACATGCAAGATTCACCTACAGTTGTATGCACACTTAAAAAAAAACATCAACATGTCTGTCATTCTGGGGAGGAGGTTCATAAAAAAAAAGAGATATCCATGAACAATGACCTAACATTCTTAAGGATAAAAAAAATGGTAAGACACAAAACTTCTTTTTCTACAGGTAGATCAAAAAAAAACTTGTTTGCAACACCACCGGCATTGAGGATTATCCTAGAAAAAAAAACAGGCTGCGGGAAAAGTGCCACAGGAAACAGCATCCTAAAAAAAAGCGTGTTTGAGTCCAAGCTGGGGGCCCAGTCAGTGACCAGGACATGCCAGGCAAAAACAGGAACATGGAATGGGAGGAAAGTCTAAAAAAAAGACACGCCCTCCATTTTTGAGTCAAAGGCTGATACCCAAAAAAAAAACAAGAACATTGGGGACTGCTACCTGCTCTCTGCCCCGAAAAAAAACGTGCTGCTTCTGGTGATCCAGCTGGGGCGTTTCACTGAAAAAAAAACAATGGCCATCAGGAAGGTGAAGGAGGTCTTTGGGGCAAAAAAAATGAGACATGTGGTCATCCTCTTCACCCACAAAGAGGACAAAAAAAACCAGGCCCTGGATGACTATGTAGCAAACACGGACAACCAAAAAAAAAAGGACCTGGTGCTGGAGTGCGAGAGGAGATACTGTGCAAAAAAAAACCGGGGCTCTGGGAAAGAGCAGAGGCAGCAGCAGGCAAAAAAAAAGGCTGTGATTGAGAGGCTGGGAAGGGAGCGAGAGGGCTAAAAAAAAAGCAACAACCTCTTCCTGGATGCCCAGCTGCTCCAAAGAAAAAAAACTGGGACCTGCCAGGAAGACTGCAGGCAGTACCTGGCCAAGGTGAAATGGCAGGTGGAGAAGCAGAGGCAAGAGCTGAGGGAGAAAAAAAAAAACTGGGCATACAAGGCACTCCTCAGAGTCAAACACTTAAAAAAAATGCATTATGAGATTTTTGTTTTTCTTTTTTGGTGCAGCAAAAAAAATTTAATTATTTTTCTGTTCATCTTTCATTATATTTAAAAAAAAAAACCCTGAAGCACTTCTAACGTATCACCCCATGGCGTCATTGTTCTAATAATCACCAATTCAGACTCGGATCCTCATGGTCTGTGGAAAAAAAAGCTTGCTGTCTGTGCAGCTCCCATTTCCCCTTCTACCTAAAAAAAATGGAGCTGTGTGCCTCCACTCCAAGGCTACCTGGCTGCTGTAAACACTATCCCACTCTCTCTGCCAATGACTGCTTCAGGAACGAAAAAAAAATCCCATGCAGGTCCATGATAAGTGAGTAAAAGTCTGCAAAAAAAAGGATGGAAGATCTCTCATTAGATAGAACCTATCTTTGTAAAAAAAATTGTGGGGTCTGGGTGTGACGCTGGGACTGTCAGCAGCAAAAAAAAGCCAACCTGAGGTTGAACTCAGTGCCTCAGAGCAGCACAGAGAGTTGGGGCCACCTGAGCCCTGAGCCACCAGCCCTGCAGCCTAAAAAAAATCTGCATTTCCAGTTGTGTTAGCCAATAAATTTCCTACAAAAAAAAGCTATTTGTGCTCCAGGTCTCTTTTACCTGCATTTTAAAAAAAAAAAAGTAATGAAAATTTCTCCACATTCCTTTTTATCCTTTAAAAAAAATGGAACTTCCCAGTCCACATGCTTCCTTTGAGCAAGTGAAAAAAAAAACAAAGGAACAGGATTGGCTTTTCTTGTTCCTAAAATTAGGAAGAACTTCCTGCTCCTACTGAAGTGCCTGCCACATAGTGGAAAAAAAAAGAACTCTGAGTAAAGCAAAACACTTTCAGTTGGATTGCAAAAAAAAATGGGAGTGGGAAAGGGTCAAGGAAATGGGGTGCCCTCAAAAAAAAGCTCTCTCTGTGCTTTCTTCTCAGTTTGGCCAGTGGCCCAAGAGAAACACAGCTCACATTTCAGTGCTCTGCAAGGAATCACTTAAAAAAAAGTTCACACATGAGAAAGGTTAACCAAACCCTTTCTCCTAAAAAAAAGTAAAATGTCCTTGGATCAGCTCTCCAGCTCTATTTCTTTGGAAGTCGATGTCCACAGGGTTGGGGTGGGGGGCAGGCTGTTGGAAAAAAAACAGGCAATCCTGCTCACCATGAAAGTGATTCCTTGTTAAAAAAAAAAGTGTGGACCAGGTGACCCGGGAATGGGCCATCCCCCCAAAAAAAAGAGGCTACTCTGGCAGCGCCGCTCTGTAATGCTTTCTTAAAAAAAAGGCTATGTCCATCAAGAGTGCCTCCCTGGAGGGAGGGAGAGCCCAGACAACATCTACTGGACCAGTTTCCGGAGGCTTCAAGGTAAAAAAAATTATGTGCAGTCTTTGCCTCCCTCAACTCAGCCCACTCAAAAAAAACGGGGCTGCTGCAGTGAAGGGAGCCACATTTCAAAGTCAAAAAAAACAGAGGTGAGTTCCCTCCCGATGTTGTCATCAGTGACCACACCGCGGGGCACCTCCTTAGCTATCCCGAATCTGTCCTGTCCATAAAAAAAACTACTACTGGAGTGCAGGTGCTGATTTCCTCTGAATGTAAAAAAAATCTCCAGGCTTATACTCATACAACCCAGCTGCCTCTTGAAAAAAAATGATCTTCCCAAGATACACCAACCTGCTTAGAAGCCTCAAAAAAAAATTCCAGGAGGCACCCTCGAATCCTGAGAATGAGGCCCAAAAAAAACATCCTCACCCAGCCCCAGCTCCAGCCCCCCATGCACCCCTCCTCCTGTGTGCTGACTCCCATCCCATTCCTTAATTACATGCCAAAAAAAATCCAGTGACTTCCCCCAAGAGGCAAGGATGTTCCCAGTCAGCTTAGCCTCTCTCCGTCTAGGAAGCCTCTGCAGAGCCTGCCGTGGTCTCCTTCTTGCTGACATTGCTTCCAAAAGAAACCTTCTCCTACAAAAAAAATTTTATGTGCTTTCATTCCTCCACCCCACAGTCTCCTGAAAAAAAAAATCCTGTTATTTTTTATCTTACACTCCTGGTGCCAGGCATTGACCCTGACCCTCAGTACTAACGTCATAAATGTCTGTGAAGCAAAAAAAAATTAAATCAAGCTCATTGGAGCAGTTTGGGAACACTGCAAAAAAAAGGTGGTCCTTGGTCTGAGAACTCAGGGTTCCCAGGGTTAAAAAAAATGGCACACAACACACTCCCTGCACATGTTTGGAATCAGAAAAAAAATAGATGCAGGAGTCAATGCCATGGAACCAGACATGGAGAAAAAAAACCAGAAGCAGAGCTGGAGGATGCTGCTAAGGGGCATCACAGCCGAGCACCTCAGACTCACCCCAGAGTAGTCACTTGCCCATCCAAAAAAAACCTCTCCAGGACGGCTGCAGGTCTCCCTTACCGAACACAAAAAAAAAGGTGTGGTGGAGGGACCCAGGGACTTCCTCTTCATCTAAAAAAAAGTTTCCACTGAATTCCCAACCTGCCCATACTTGAGCCCAAAAAAAACCTTCTTCTCTTTACTGCCATTGAGATGGGGACCACCAAAAAAAAATCAAATTCCCACAGACATCACATGTCACTGTCCTGGATGGTACTGAGTTTGGGGTTAGAGATGTGGCATTGCAGTGCAGCCCGGAAAAAAAAGGGAAATCAGTGAAACAGATGACAGCCCTCAGCCTAAAAAAAAAAAGCCACCTGTTTTGTACAGCTATGAGCTAAGAGGGGTGTAAAAAAAACCAAATGGTTGAAGAAATCAGAAGAAAAATAACATTTTAAAAAAAAACACGAAAACTGCATGAAATTCAGAGTTCAGTGCTCATAAAAAAAAAGGGATCAAAGCCTTGCACATCACTTACAGTCTCATCCAAAAAAAACTTTGTCTATGCAGCAAAGTTGAGATAAGTAGCTGGGAAAAAAAAAATATAGTCTGCTGAGCACAGGTTTTCTGCTCTCTGGCCAAAAAAAATCCTGCTCCAGGACATCCCAGGTCCTGCATTTCCCAGCTGCTCTCCTTGCTTTCCCCAAGGCAGGCCCCATCTGGCCACTGCAACCCCTTGCTCTCTTTCCCTCAAGTCCAGCCCCTTGTCCTCCAGCCTCCTCCACACCTCCAGGGTGCCCTACTTGGTTCAGCAGATTGACCTCGCCATCCTTGCTTTCTGAGGTGGGGGCAGGGCATCATCTTTTCAGCAAAAAAAAAAATCTGGGCATATCTATGAATAAAGTAAGGAATTCTGAAAAAAAATTGTCTCATAGCACATTTCTCCCCTGGACATCAGGAATAAAAAAAACAGGGCCCAGGGTGAGACATTCTCAGACCCTTGTAGCCAAGCACCTTTCTTCCTGCAAGCCACCAAATATTCCATGGCCATACCAAAAAAAATTATGATTTACACTCACAAGTTAACAAAACAAAACAACAAAAAAAATCTTTTTCTTTCTCTCTTTCTTTTTTTTTTTTTTTTTTAAAAAAAAAGAGTCTCACTCTGTCGTCCAGGCTGGAGTGCAGTGTCAAAAAAAAGGCTCACTACAACCTCCACCTCACGGTTCAAGTGATTTAAAAAAAAATTTTTGTATTTTTAGTAGAGACAGGGTTTCACCATGTTGGCCAGGTTGGTATCGAACTCCTGACCTCAAGTGATCTGCCCGCCAAAAAAAACCAAAGTGCTAGGATTGCAGGCGTGAGCCACCACACCCAAAAAAAATTTTATTTATCTAAAAGCACTGGATGGAAAATTGATGAAAAAAAAATTGCGAGGAAGATAAATTGGGAGTGAAATTCTGTAAAAAAAAAAAAAAGGGCTGTAGACACATAAACAGAGATGGCAACTCTGGAAAAAAAAAAAGGCAGGCTGTAGAAATCACCTAAAATGTTCAGTGTAAAAAAAAGATACACAAGTTCATTAAAATGGCAAGAAAAATCAAACAAAAAAAAATAAAAAGGCAGACATGACAACCTAAGAAAGCATCTGCAAAAAAAATCTGGAGAGCACTTTGCGTGGCCAGTTACTCTCATCCTAAAAAAAATCTCACCTCTGCTTCTCCACCTGCTATTCCACACTGGCAAAAAAAAGCCCGTAGTCTTCTTGGCAGGCCCCAGCCTGCCTCTCTGGAGCAGCTGGGCATCCAGGAAGAGGTCGTTGCTGTGGAAGGAGCCAAAAAAAACCCTCCCCAGCCTCTTGATCGCAGCCACGAGCTGTGCCAAAAAAAACCTCTGCTCCTCCACAGCGACCCGGTTGTTGAAGTTGTAAAAAAAACTCACACACTCCTGCACCAGGTCCAGGTCCGTCAGGCTAAAAAAAACCATGTTTGCTACATAGTCATCCAGGGCCTGGCCCCTAAAAAAAAATTGTGGGTGAAGAGGATAACCACATGTCTCATGGCCCCAAAAAAAAAAACCTCCTTCACCCTCCTGACGGCCACCATGTCCTAAAAAAAAAAACACCTCAGCTGGATCACCAGAAGCAGCACGTGGGGCCCCGGGGCAGAGAGCAGGTAGCAGTTCCCAATGTTCTTGTACAGCTCAAAAAAAAGGACCTCTGACTCAAAGATGGAGAGCGTGTCGACCACCAAAAAAAACCTCCTGTTCCATGTTCCTGTCTCCACCTGGCACGTCCTGGTTACTGACTGGGCCCCCAGCTTGGACTCAAACACAAGCTGGCCAAAAAAAATGTTCCCTGTGGCACTTTTCCCTCAGCCTGTTTTGCCCACCAGGGGGATCAGCAGCAGCAGTGATCCTGGAGCCAACCTGCCTTAAAAAAAACCTGTGAGAGTGGGTGAAGAGTGAGTATGTAAAAACTGAAAAAAAAGGTGGAGGCACCAAAAAACAGAAGGCAAAGGCATCCAGAGACACTGGCACCCTGGGTCAGTGAGGACTCCACAGCTCCGCTCCAAAAAAAAACCCACGTACAGAGAATGGAGGGACTCACACAGTGTTTGTGGGATTACCCAGCTGGCCAGAGCTCCAGGGCTCTTCCCCTTTGGGAAAAAAAAGCTCTGCCCCTTTCTGGCCTTCCCTCGATGCACTTCCCACCCTGAGGGCCTGGGGTGGGGCCAGGAGGAGGCCGTTTTCTCCGCAAAAAAAAGGTCCATCTCATGCTTTCTCCCTCTCCCATCCCTAGCTAATCTCTATTTTTCACGATCACAGAGTTTTATTTGGAAAATCTTGTAAAAAAAAAAAAGAGGATGGCAGTTAAGAGCTTAATATGCTGTATTAAAAAAAATAAATGTGTTTTCTTTGTCGTTGGTGAATACAGTCTTGTGCCTTTCACTGCCAGGTGGGAAGTCT